TATCTTTTTAATTCTTATTTTAATGAAATAACCTGGAAAAAATGCATCACCGAGAACTAACATTTCCCCCTATGTTTTGGGTTTACCAGAAGTTCCAAAAATGGGTCAGGAGAGAGGACACCATTTGACCATACATTTTTATCCCCTCTGTAGTAGGAGTTTAAACCTGCAGACGCCTTCTACTCTCTGGATAGTGAACGCAGAGGATTTTGTGCCCCTAACTCAAGGCTCTTCGAACTTGACAGCTTTAAGACTTGTGGACTTCAATGCCCAGAATTCCTGAGCTAACTTCACTGGAGGAGGAATTCTGGGAGTTGGAAGTCCACAAGTCTTAAAGCTATCAAATTTGAAGGCCCTAACTTGTGTAGGGGGTTATTCAGGAGACAAAAGGTGGTGGTTACACCAAACCTGCTAAAGAAAATACAACAAACCTTTTTTAAATTTTCATTTATTTCTTAAATTTATATGCTGCCCACCTCACCAATGAAATGACTCTGGGCATCTCCCCTCCACCATTCTTCTTCATTGTGTTAATGTATCCCTTTTACATAAAATAAAGAGATTGAAAATGTAATCTCGGAGTTAGTGGCAGTTTACCCTGCTCCTTGAATTTTGTCATGCTGATTCGTATCGGTTGCATTGCAAAGAGCCTTGGAGGATTTTTCAAACAGGCTTCAGGGCAGGATATGGGACCAAACAGCACTTACTGGAATTGTGGAAAAAAATGGGCAATTGGGGGTTGGCATGGCATGTTATATTCTTCATCTTTGTTTTCCTTTATTTCTCAGTAGCTTTCAATATCAATAATCATGATATTCCCCAGACCAGTCGGGTGCTGATTCCAGTCAACATCTGAGTCCAATCCAGGGGTTGGTTACTACCTATAAAACCCTGCATGGCATGAAGCCAGGTTAAATGTGGGACCTTTTTCTAACTTTTTGCACACAATACACTGGGGATGTTCCAGGTTAAGCTCTGTCAATTTGTGAGATATTTTGGCCACAGCGATTTCCCTTTGGAATATCATATCCATGGAGATTCATTTGGCTCCAACTCTTCTGGCATTTGGTAAGTTCTTGAAGACTTGGAAGCTCCCCTGGCATGGGATGTGCAGGTTGGGTTTGCTTGTCAAAGCAGGGTTGTTTTTGTCTCAACATGCCTGTGGTTGTATAGTTTGTATTAGATTGCCCTTGGATGAAATGACATTTTATTATTGATAATGATGATTGGTTTCCAATGCCATGTTCACTGGCCAAAGATGCAATTTTGAGATGGTCAGATTTATAAATTGATAGCATGAATATTAAATAAGCTTATAATTATCTCCTGAACTGTAATAATGGAAATATTGAGTGATTGTTTCATTTAGCAGCTGGGGTTAGTGAAGCAGACTATCGTGTTAAAAATCCATGTAAGCATCTGATTGGCCACACTTAGGAAAAGGGAATGTTTATTATTCTTTTTTTCTGACTTAGTAGAACAATGTCTTCTGTCACCTTTTTAAGACTCAAGGGCACTCTCATAAAAAATGTACACTATGAAAGGAAATGATTATGTACCAACTAATACTGACCCTGGCCAGAATCCAAGGTACAGCTGGAAATAGAAGGAACTCAAATTTAGAAAAAGATGCCCTGCTAAAGAGTCTTTAAAGTGTGTGTGTGTGTGTGTGTGTATACACATACATACATACATACATATATATATATGTTACATAAAAATGTTTTCATTTAAGCAGTTAATTATACCAGTAGTACAAAAATAATACCAATCTGTGGTGTTTTTATGGGCCTTCTTCATTTTGAAGGAAGTCAACCCATAGATCTTCTGAGACAAGTTTACTTCCTAACAGGAAGTAAAGCCTGATTTCTTTTCCTTTAGTTTGTCGCTATCATTTGTTTCGTTGCCAATTTATTGTTGTGAGTCTTCTGTTTATTTTTTAAAAGGTGGGGAAAAGGTGGGGAAAGAAAAGAAAAACAAGGTTTTTGAGCAATGGTGTGCGTCTGCAAATAAAGATATTGAAGAACATTTTGAGTGTCTTTGTTTAAATATGTTTTATGATTATTCATTGAAAACAGAAAACAAAGAAGTAATATTTATCAACTTTACGTATTTGCATAACCATTGTTTTCTTATGTGAATTTTCTCTGGATGCTTTGTCATGAAACATGCCACTTGCTTCTATTTAATTACATTTTGCAATGACAAGCAGCTTTTAAAAAGTACACTCACAGTTGTATGAAGTGGTTGCAACCATTTTTCAGAAAATAGTTCACCCATTTTTTTTAAAAAAGGCATTACAACCACAGCACGTACATACTCTTAAGTTCATTATGAAACTTTTCTATTGATCTTTTCCAATAAATTATTTTATGAAGTTTAGGAAAAACACATTGGAGTAGTTATGTCTAGAAAGTATACCAATTGAAATAACAAAACTGAAGGTTAATCATGGCTCATGTCCTGTTACTTTCAAAGTAATTTCTAAACATGCATCTTTTTCATATTTTGCTTCAGGTTAGAAAAAATCCCAAATTCCATTGGTATCATCTGAGTAAACTATGAAGAACGTGTGTGTGCGCGCACGCAATAGCATACCAGCCACTTCTTATTCACACATTATCTGTATTCTGGAATAAGCTCCTACTCTAAAACTGCAATAAAAAAGCAGCTTCATAAAGTTTATTAAACCATGATATACAGTAGTTTAATCATAGACTTGGCATTGCTTAGTTGTGATAGTACCTAACTGATGTCACCTTGCTGATCTTGTGTAATATCCAAAAAACGAACAAGCAAACCCAACCCACTAGCCTAAACAGCAAGTCATTCTTAGTATTTGGATGGGAGATCGCCAAAGAACCCTGAGTTTATCCTAAGTAAGAAATTCTAAAAATACTCTGAAATAATGACAGGCGACTTGAATGTGATTCAAAGGTAACAGGTGGGTTGATTATCTCAATTCTAAATCAGTTGTAGTTAATATACATGTATAATTAACAGTTTTTTTGCAAGAAAATTTTCTGTTGTGGTTCTGCAGGTGTTGGCCCGTATGGATAAATCAGGTAAGAATCATAACCAGATGAGCTAATTCTACTTTAATGTAATGTAAAGCCACATTGACAGAATCTTGTGAGTTTGAAAGTAGAATCCTTTCCATCCATCTCCTTTGCAGCCTGAGAAACTGGTGAGGGTCCCTTCTGAGCCTCTTGCCCCACCCGCTATCCAGTTCTGGGCTAGGCTGTCTTGAATTTGACTGTCCCCTTGCAGGCTCTTTTTGCCGGGTCTCCCAAGGTCATTACAATAGTTGACTGCACATGATTCACAGTATGTAAGCTTATTTATTGGATTTAAAACAATGGGAGATTTGGGTGCTTTTAAATGAGGCTTTTCTGTGATTTTTCACAGTAATTTAGAGGTCAAAACAACACTATTTTCCTTGTGTAAATCTTTTTTTAAGTTTTCTCAATGCTTTGTCTTTTTTTTTAACAGGAAAATACATGTTTAGGAAAAGATAGAATAGCTGCATAATGTTGTTCATCATCAACACTAGGAGCTTTGGAAGTGCCTAGATTGCTTATGAATTAAGGGTAATGATTGTTGCTTAGATTGTCATAATTTGTTTAGAATCTCAAATTGGAATTGCAATGGTAAAATTGTTGCTTTGCTATTTTAAACTGTCCCTCATGCATCACAAGATCTGATTTCCCCAATAAAAGGGGAAACATATAAATGAACCTAAGATACAAATTATATCTAGCGATTCATAATACATTAAGTACAATTAAAGGTTTTAAATCTTTTCTTTGTTACTACCATTATTAATATTAGCTATTTATAATATTTTTGTGTTTATTAGTTAAAAAACATGAATGTATTAGTAATAGAAGAGTGGTTATAATCCAACGTGAAAATAAATGGAGTATATTGTGAATTATTTAGTACTTAGGATGTGATAAGGTGTGAATATGTGACTAGTACCAGCCAATAATGATTTTTAGGACTCACCAAATTCGACAACAAATGTAAAAAACTATGTGTTATTACTGTTTCTGTATTTTTGAAATTGTATGTTTTTAAATTTGTAAATAAAATTGTTTTTAAAACTTAAAAAAAAGATCTGATTGGTAAACAAGCAAATACTAGAGCATTAGGAGTCTATGTAATCACTAATTCCTTTGGGGCTAACTATAGGAGCCAATAAAATGGGTAGAAACTGTTAAGATAAATATGTAATTAATATCAAAAAGGGCCTTTGCTAAGGGAGTGTTTTGGGGAAAATATGATAGAAAGCTTTTGCCTAGTGTGACATTGCTGGAATAATACACTGCTTTATCAGCCTGCCTACTGCTATAAATCTGTTAGAAAAGTCATTCTCAATGACCTTACCCAAGCTCTGGAACAACATGTCCAAAAGTAATTTAACATACAGATAACTGCTTTAAAATTTCCTTAAAGTTAGTAAATAGTTTAAATATGTGTTAGATTTAAACCCATCTTCCCTCAGTTGCCTTCTTTCCTGAAATGTTCAGTGCAGTAAGAATATAGAGATTTCAGTAAAAAAGGAGAGCTTGGTTGTTTTCTTGCAAATCTTATAGGATCCCTCAAAAGCCTTCTTTTTTGCAGAAATTTGACTCTTGTAATAACTTTATTACGCTTTTGATTTTTTTAAATGTTATTCTAAATTATTTTGTTGGCTATTTGATTTTATTAGGCATTGTATTTTACTGACTTTTTCCCTTAAAAGTGTGGGAGACAAATATAAAAAATTAGCAGATTTTTACTGGTTTTTGGAAGAAAACTTTAAGTGAAAAATCTAGGCCTAGGATGCTGACTCTCCCAATAAAATCATATTGATTAATGGCATTTATACAAGTATGGCAAACATATGGATGCAAATCCTTTACAAGTACAGTAAATAATAGCTACATTCTGCCATATTCTACAGTCTTTGTAACATATAATCAATAGAATTAAATGAACATTTTCATTAGTTTGGTTTTAATTAAGTTTTTATTCATCTGTGAAAATACTATTTTTAAGTAAAACTAATAAAATACAGAAAAGGAAACATGAGCATTAAGTGACTAATTAAAGTCACATAAAGCATTTCACCTTCATTGACTTCAAGCCAAGTATTATGCATAGATGCAGTGAAAAGGCAACATGAACAACGTATGAACAGTTACATTTGTGCAACTTTCAAGCAATGTTCTTAAAACTAATATAGTTAAATCAAATAGTTACAAAAAGAAAAAGGGTATGGATTGTTTAAAGAAAGACTGACACATATCAAAGTAGTGATATATGAAAAATACAAATAATAAGTTGTCAAGCAAATATTCACAAGGAAAATTATATTTTAAAAATCTACAAAAGCACATCAATAAATTATATTAAAATTTTAATCATTGCCTTTAAGTATTAAGTAGTTCTGCTTTAGGAAAACATGGACATAAACCAGCCAAAGTGAAGGACACTTATATCCCATGAATTTTGATATTAAACATACAGAAACCAATGTAACAATGTTCAACTTTTGATAAAATCTGTGCGTGTTTATAAAAGAAGTTCTATAGCTTTAATACAGTAGGCAATAACTTATATATCTCAAATTTTCACTTTAGGCGTAATCTTTTGACCTTTTTCTTACTTCCGAAGCACACGGGATCCAGCATTAAGACCAAATTGACCATATTGCACATTACTGCACACAAAAGGATCCAGAAGAGCAACTGATAGCATTTTAGAATTTCTATGGTGAGCCATCACTCAATATATAATTTGAAGTGCTAGTCAGAGAGGAATAACTTGTGGTCCATGGGTTTTGTGAAGATTGTATTAAAGTATTGCCAGTCAAGACTGTGGCCAATGAACAAAATAGCATTTGTAACAGTGGGGCTAAACCATTCATATCAGTTCTGCTTCTCAGGTAGATTAGCTACATCATCACAATTCATTACTAATACTGCCAAAGCTTAAGCCAACACATAGGATGCAGATGGTGGAATTCGTTTTACAATAGGACTGAGTTTTGTAAATCTACCCATCTTTGTCTATATAAATATAGGACAAATGTGTGAATATTATTATACATGGAATTAATCTGGACATCACAGAAATGACATCAAGGTGAAATACAGGCACTTGACAGGTGTCATATACAAGGCAGAGCTTCTATTTGTCACAGTATAAAAAGGTTTTGATAAATGGTAAATAAGAATACATATTTGACTCTTTTAAGTTGCACTCCTGGATTTGTTTCTCTGTTGGATCTCAATGCCAACATACATTTGCTTCTTTTGTATGGTCATCTTCCATAAACTGTAAACCGAAAAAGTCTTTGCATAAAGAAAATGGCTATATTCTGGAATTACTTTCAATTAATTTAAAGAAATTAGGATACACACTAGCATAATCAGTCAGTAAATCACTTTCAACAGAACATGCATATTTGTAAAGTTTTCTCTGAACTTGAAAGGGTTCTTAATATACTTTTAGTCTCAATGGTTTGGATACTGTTTTAATTTGCCCAAACAAATCTTTTTCTAAATTCTTAGTTCAGCTATAATAATACTATAAAATCCCATTCTTCCATAGCAATTATGTTTAGGCTACAAGTTTACAATTTGGTGTTTGAAAAGAAAAAAAAATGTCTATCATTCCTCAACATAGGGCCAATGCCATTACTTGAAATACAACTGTCAGTAGAAAAAAAAACAAAAAGCAAAAAAGTTTGTTAATGGTCCACTTTCAGGATTCAAGCTGGTTGTGACAGCCTACTTCACCACAATTTTACAATCTGCATGCAAGTCATTTGATCACAAGATACTGCTTGGCATAAGGGTATCTTGAAGTGCAATAGAGCAGCAAGGAAAAATTCTGTATGCTTAAAGACATAAGACAGTACTGACTTGGTGGACAAAGGCTTTAAAATCTTGTTGTATGACAGAGATATTGTATCTCTGGACTGTAACCATAAATTTTGTCTGTATAGTATGATACTTCATTTTTTATATATAATTTGAAGCTTTTACCAGTAGGGAGGAATTATATCTTGGAAATATTCTGCATAGTTATAAAACAGTCCTGTAAAAAACCTGATCCTTAAAAAAGAAATTTTGAATGAAGATTTTTAGTTTCTATATTGCTAAGCAGGTCATTCTATAAGCAGTGGCATGCATGCTCAATATCAGTTTCAAGTAAGGATTGGTAACTAAGAGGCAAGAAATAAGCTACCATCCTTGATTAGATACTCATTTTGCAAAACCTGAAATAAAAAAATAATCAAAGTTTTCTAAGGATGAGGAAGAAAAAGTAAATTTCTCTAACCAAACATTTCTAGAGCAATTATAATTCAAGGCACTTTTAATATTTTATTCATTTTTGAAATCAGTAGTATTAGTAGTAAGCTGAGCAATGGCTCTTTGGTAGCTTCTCATTTAACTGTAACTGTCTTCTCCAATTCAAAATTACTGGATTCCATTCACAAGGTCATACAGTGGAACCTCAGGTCGCAAACACTTCTGTCCATGACCAAATTGATTAACGACCAAAAATTTCAGAAAATTTTTGCATCTGGTCGTGAACATATCTTCAGGTGGTGACCAAATACAGCTGCAGCGATTTTCCTTGCTGTAGCAATTTCCCCTTCCGTGCCATTTTTTTTTTGGGTCTGTGCATGCACAGTCAATTTTGTTTCCTGTCACAACCAAATTGGGTTGCAACCGAACGGAATCACAGTTGTGACCGGAGGTTCCACTGTATTATGTATAAAATAATTTTTAGCAAGTTTTAATCTCTAGTCTTTAAGGGAACTTCATACATGAAGCAATCAAAAGACTGGAAAAGATGCTTATAATGAAGAATGCAAAAAAGCATTTATCAAATGTGTTTCCTTGTGGAAGGAAGTTATTCCAACAAAGTTATTGCATCTCTTTCTTCTTTCACGGGGGCACATATGCATACAAAAGTACAGTGTCTTCTATCATGCTAAGCGCATACACGTAACAATTTTCAATAAATGTATATATAAAAATATCCTGTAAGAACTCCCACATTAATGTCAAGAGTACATTTCTTCTATTTTCTTTGCACTATGAAAAATTATTATTCTTCAGTAATAAATTTAGCAGTAGCTAGCAAATAAATTGTGTTAACAGCAAATTAAAATAAGCATTTGTAGACAGCCAAGACAGAAATTTGTCTCCAGGAAGATGTAAAGAAAGAGCATAACCAATTAAATCTTACATAGCAGCAAAGATAAAGAGGATCATGTGGACAAAGGATGCAAGGACAAATATTGAAAAGCAATTAATCTATAAAAGGATTGTGCATAAACTGAGCGATAACATTTCTTATAGGCCGGACTTTATGAAAGGCTTGATTTCCTAGTTTTCTAAATAATACAACAGCCTAAAAATACCTCACAATATGCAACGTTATTATCAGCAATGATGGTAATACATACAATGACTCAGCTGAGTAGCAACAGCAATCTGAAAAGTTTCCATATTATTCAAATTTGCTCAGATGAGGAGTTCTTGCTTCTATTTTTGCTACAAAGTGGAGTCAAACCATATGCAACTACTTTTGTAAGGACAGAATTTGTGCTTAGGCTGACATCTGAGTTGTGTTTGCAGTATATGATTCAGGGTGATTGCACGTCTGCTTTAGCTGAGTAATAGTACAACACCACAATACGCAGAAGCACTATTAATATACAGAAACAGTTTTTCTCCTATTGCAAACATGCATCTGTGGCACGTTTGCAACAGAAGAAAAACTTTGGTGTTCTTCTGCCTTATATTTGATTTGGTATTTTAGAAAAAAAAACAGAATTTGGGCAGGTCAAAATGTCCCTATTAGGGACCATTATAAAGCCAGAACAATGAGGTATCAGCTACAAACTAGCATTTTCACAAAACAGGGAAAGCATTCAAAAAATTTACCTGAAGTTCAAGAAATCTGAATCTTACATTAACACAGTCAATATTCAACCAGTGTATACAACCATTTCAGTTTTTAAAGAGCAACTCAAGATGATAAGACAGTGTGAATGTGGAAATTATAGGCACAAAGTTGGTGTTGAATTTTGTTCAGTGAGGAAATATTAGGTCTAAGAAACCAATGAGTCAACTATTAAAGAATTTGAATAATGCAGTTCTGCAAAAAGATGTAGTATTTTGATTTGGTTTAAGTACATACATAAATCATCTAATCTAAAACAATATTTAGAATATTCCACATCTTTTGCAGATACATGCAGACCAAAACTTGCACTTTTTCCTATGGACTGGGTGGATCCAAGTATTCTGGGTTTGTGCTAGCATTTGTGGAACAGGTTCATAATATTCTAGATGTATTCTATAAATGCATCCCAGATTCAGACTGGCTATTCTTGCAAAAAAAACATGGAATACACTGAAGCTGAAATGCTCCACTTTGTCACACTTAACACTTTATATCATTCTAGTTCTTCCCAGTTATCAGTAAGGTTACCTTTGCTTTGTCGCCTAATGCTGACCAACCTTCCAGCTGATTTAATACTCCACCTTGAACTATTCCCTGAGCTTGCCAGGTTTGTGTACTTTGTTGAGCCTTTGGTTGCATCTTCCCAGCCTGACCAAGATGAAGAGTCACTTAGAGTATTTTCTGCATCATTGAGGTGGTCACTGGCAGGAATCTGAGGAGGTTCCCATCCTTCAATCTCATCGGGTTTCCTGGAATGGGTGTTCTGTTTTATCACCAAGCTGTCCCAAAATCCACCTTTCTTTTCTGATTTTAAATCTTCTTTAAGTTTCGTATTTGTTCTGGATAAATAAATAAATAAATAAATAAATAAATAAATAAATAAATAAATAGTTTTATTAGAAATCATATGAAAAAGAAAGACACTTAATTGTCTGGGTCAGAGTAGATGAACATTGTTTTATCTCTGGATAAAGGATAATGATTAGGATGGTTTTTCCAATATCTTCCTCTTATTGTTCAAGTTTCACTCACTGAATATATTTAGCTCATTTAAATATTTATTTTTAGATTTCCATCTTTTAAAAAAATGGTTAAAGTCAAAAAGGGTTAATATAAGATTAAGCAGAATAGTAAAAATTAAAAGTAATTAATTTGCAAGCCCTTCAATTTCTATGAACTGGAAGCTGTAGCTGTATTATTGGGAATAATGCCAGTTTTTCTGCACAAGTCATCTATAACAATCACAGCTCCAATTCAACATAAATCTTTAAACAGAAAGTTTTGTTATGAAAAACAGTAATTTAAGTGTATATTGTCTAATTTTCTGGAATCTTAGTTACTTTTTTCTGATTTATTGCCTTGATTCTAGCTTTAATAATTTGAGTAAACTTACTACAAGATAGGCTGTTACATTTAGTATCATTTCGCACTACATTATATACATACCCTTTAGATTTTGGAGATCTACATCCTGTTAATAATTGTTGTTCATCATCTTTATTGAATATGGAGGTTACTTCTTTCCAACCCCGAAAACCTGCACCTTGAACCTAATAATAATAAAAATATTTATAAATAATTATATAAAATATGGCAACACTGCAGAAAAGGTTTAATGGTTAAAGTATATTTTCTTTCATAATTTTAATATAATTTGAAATTTCTATTGTATTGTAGTTCCAACTTGTTTTAAAGCAATTATAATGCAGTAATAAGAGTAATAAACCCTTACATTTCCTAAAATATTTCTATGCTGATTTTTTTTTGGCTTTACACTTTAAAGAATCTAAGAAAAACATGAGATTCAGATTCAGCCCAATGCTTTTGTTGTCTAAAGTGGAGACTGGCAGTCTGCTGTTCGCAGAGATATTACCTGTACACAATATTCACTGACCTCCAAATATAATTTCAAATTAAAATATATTTTTAAAAAACTTTAAAGTGCCAAATTCTCATTACACTTTGTTTTTTTTAAATTTAAAACTTTATTAATTTTCCTATCCCAGAAAACAATAGCGATACTTTAGTCATTAATCAAAATATTGCATAGTAACTTTGTAAGTTTTTAAATGTATACTGCTCAAGAATTAGATATGTTAAATTTGTGCTTTAGAAAAAATTATCTGCTTAGATCTATAAATAAAACAAATAACTATTATAAATAACCATCTCAGAGCAATTTAAAACCTGGTGTTGCTTACAATAATTTATTCACCCAGATCAGAATCAGAAACTTCTCACCCCCATGTTGTGGTACATTTCAGCATCTTTTAAAACTGTCGCTATTGTATCCATTGTGTTTATCCTAGGAGTCCACTTTGATGCTCAGGTGTTATGTTTCTACAAGGTTGAACCAGAAGTCTTGAACCAGTAGAGGCTTGAGTCTGGTTGAAATTGAACCCCAGAGTAAGATACAAGTTGCTCTCTGTGCAGATGAATCTTAATCTTCTTCAGTAATACTTCTGAATATACTTCTCTTGAAAGGGCATATCTGCAGATTGCAAAGCTCTTGATCTCATAGCTATTCCTAGAGAGCAAATTGCGTTATGGCCAGCAAGCACTTTGTCCAGCTTCAGCTGCATAAGTTGAAGCCTCTCCCTGAAACAGAAGGCCCCAGCCATGATGGCTCATGTGTTTATCCCAGTGGTGACTTATATACTATACTTAACATCATTACCTAAGCTCCTCAGCGCAGTCTACATAAGCCTGCCTTTGTACACAACTTGGAAAGTATGACTGGTGCAAAATACAGCAAACAAATTATCAAATTACTCATCATGCTCACGTGTAACACGTCTTACAATCATTGCATTGGACACTATTAAATTTCTCTGTGCAATTCAAAGTCTTCGATTTAATCCATAAATATTTATATGGCTTAGCATTTACGGACTTACAGCCTCCCCTGTATGGGGATAGCACATCCAATTTATCTGCACAGTACATAACTCTCACCAAAACTTTTGCTGATTCTCATATTTGTGTGTATGTGGAGAGGGACACAAACAATGGTTTTCAGATGTGGGCCTCACTTTATAAAATGGCTACCCTCTGGATGTCAGGCCAGCATCCTCACTACTGGCTTTTCAGAATCCACTGAAGACTGAATTGTCCCAGAACACATTTGGGGAATGAAAACTATCATTATTCTGCTAATTGGATTGTTGTGAATTGCCCAAAATTGGGTGAAATTAGAGTGCCATACAAGTTCAATAAATTATTAAATAAACATTAAACATTATTATTTGCATTATTGCTTTTTTGTTTATTCTGATTTTCTGAGAATTATTTTACACTATTGTATACTGATGAAAGACATTTGAGATTCAGCAGTCTAAAAAATATAAAGAAATAAATGATCCTTGTTCTTGTCTGAAATCAATTCATCATAACAAGCCAGAACTTTGCCATTTTAAAAGAGTCCAGCTATGCCACACTGTGCCTTCTGGAATATAGCAGAGAATCCATTTTTATGTCTTAATCAGTTTTTTAAATCTCCTGATTATAATGGGTTTTGCACAAATTTTGTAAATGTTGAAGCACTGTAACTTTATAAAGAGAATTTCAAGGTTGTTGGCTTTCTACACTTAATCTAAATGATACATTATTTGCCTAGGAAGAAATGTTTAACTGAATGTGACAAGAGGAATCTCAAGTAAAACAGTAGAGCATGGGATTTAAAAAACTAAAATAAAAGAACTTCGAACCATCCCATTCTATTCTCCTTTGCTCTTCCTCTTTTTCTGGTCTCCCTTGGTGAAAAAAAACACCTTAGTGTTTATATGGTCACTAAATCACACTGAGTCCTCACTCTTCTATAATATACTATAATACTGCATATATTAAATATTTGTGAGCCATTGTTTTAGTGATGTTTCTGATTAACAAATACATGTAGGGAAGCAATTTCTTAACAGAATTAAATCGGTCTTGTCTGGTAGCAACTTTTGTTTTAGGAAATGTTCAGAAATTCTATTGCAGGATGTACTATATATCAAAGAAAAGTTTTAAATTGGGCCTCTTCCTGGAATGTTAAAACAGTTTCCCTTTAGTTTGTTTATGCATTTTGGGAGAGAATAATACATTTTGACTTAAATGAAATTCCTGTTATTTAAGCGATCACTTTTCATAATACCCTTTTAAAATGCACCATATGAGACAAAATATATTATAATTGTATGTCATAATATCGCTAGTTTGTTTTAGTAAGTTAATGGTTTTATCAAGGAACAATTAAATTTTTGTTTAGAAAAAAAATCTAGCATGAAAATATATACTTTTATATAATGTTTGTTTTTTGTTTTTTAAGAAAAGCTTTGGCTTACTTTTTGAGAATGTTTAAATATTTTAAATTACATAATACATTATTTAATACACTTTATTATTACTGCAGATCCTAACTACAATAGTGACTTTATATTCAATCTTTTATATATAGAAAGTATGATGCTGTATTAATGGTTGACCTTCCATAAATGATGAACTGATTATATATTGTAATTTAAACTGCACATAATTGAACTCTTACATTTCTATCACTCCTATTTATCTATATGCTGTATGGAATAAATTCACAATGATCAGGAAAAAAACTCTAACAAGTGATCATAATTTAATGAGCACCACTGATTTTCAAATATGAAAATCTTTAAAGGAAAATATTATATTTCAAGGAAAATAAAGGAAATTCATTATTTTATGAAATTTATACAGTCTCAGAAGTAAAAAAGTAAAGGTGTATATTTGTGAGTGAAAGAAATGCAATGGTCATTCGATTTATTATACTAAAAAGAATCAATAATAAAATAAACAAAGTAGTTAGGATAGTAATAAATTATATGCAGAGGAATTTTAATTCATAAACTAATGTTTATTAAATTATTTTTTATTATTTTAACACGTGATTGCTCAGTGGTTAAAGATGCTGAACTTGCCAGCTGGAAAGCTGACAGCCCAGGTTCAAGACCCAAGTATCATCAAGAGGGGGTGAGCTCTTGTTCCTACACCAGCTCCTGCCCACCTAGCAATTTGAAAGCATGCAAATGCGAGTAAATAGGTAGCACTTTGGTGGGAAGGTAAGAGCATTTTATGCACCTCTGACATATATCATACTGGCCACATGACCATGGAAATTTTCTTTGGAAAATGTTGGCTCCCTCCCTCCAAGAAATGGAGATGAGCACCGTGACCTAGAGTTGACATGACTAGACAGGGAACATTTACCAAAGATATCTACAGCATGATTACTAAACAATGGATAATTGTCTCAACGTATACACTGGAAACATGAAAAAACTGTATGCTTTGATAAGGGAAAATAGGCTTTCAAAAGGAAGTGTTCAAAAGCGCTTCCGAGGATTTTAAAAAAGCCTGCTCATTGTATTAATGATAACTTAAGAACAGCAAAGAAGACACAAACTCCTTAGTGGAAAGAAAAGTTTTGTTGTCAGGGGTCCTCAAACCCTGGGCTACTACCAGGCCTTGAGCCTTTTGCAACTGGGCCATGGAAGTTTTTCAGGGAAATATGGTAGTTTTATTACTGCTAATAGTAATAGATTTATTGTACACATGATAGTATCACTTTTAATTTCTTAGTTTAACTCTGTAAGATTGCCTAGGATATCTTTGGAAAAGATAAGAAAAAATTAAAAGATAAGCTTTTATTAAATTTTAAATATAACTATTTTACCTGTATGACATGACCAGTAACCTGGTTTTGAAATTATAAGATGTAATATCTACATAGATTCAAAGCTTTTTATTTTATTAAGTTCACTGAATATAATTAATTATAAAATAATTATTTTTAAAAATAGTAATTAAAAATGTAGTAGAAACAAAGGCAGGTTTCTTCTGAACCATTTTCACAAAGCAGCTACATGGCATTTTGCAATTCAATATGCTGCATAAGCATAGTCTATGGTATCACTATGTTTATCCATTAGTAGATCTCTGTTTCTATATTCAAAGACATATAATGAAATCTATAAATTCATAATTGTTAACCAGCTGAATCCTATTATGAAATATTTTGTTTATATGCTAAATATCAAACCATTTACAATAATAATAATATATTATTATATATTATATTATAATATAATATAATATATTATTATTATAGTTTATCACAGTCAGCCAGTTATTCAGACAGGAATTGGAATTTTTATAGACTTACTCAGTTCTTCCCAAGGATCTGAGAGAGGCACGTGTTAATGTTGGATAGTTTTAGAGGTATTGTTGCAGGATGAAAGCTGTTCTGAGTAAAGCTGTCTTTTGCAATTGATTGATGGTGAATTTGTCAATGCCAATATACCATGCTTCAGTTATTCTGAGATTGCATCAAGGTGCCTATTTCTATTGGCTTTCTTTTGCCAGAGTTATTTTATTTCTATGTGCAGGTCTTGATATTTTGCTATCTTTTCTAATTCTTTCTCATCTATTCTGCTGTCTCCAGGTATTGCCACGTCTTTTTTTTATTACTGTATTGACAATTGCTAAGTCTGAGGTGTCTATTTGGTTTGAATTCTAGAGTCCCAGAATACTTCAGCTTTTTCATTTAGCTTTATTTTATGGTCCCACCAGTTCTTGCTTGCAGGCAATAATATTTCTTGTAGCTATTCCAGTGCATCATCGTTGCTATTATTTTATTTATTTATTAAACAAATTTATATGGTCACTCAACTCGCATCCAGTGATTCTGGTGGCTTACATTAAAATCCATAATGTAACCATAAGCATCTCTTTCTGTCTCGTCTGTCTCGTTTCTCTCTCTGTCTCTCTTTCTCTCTGTCTCTGTCTCTCTCTCTCTCTCACACACACACACGGTGATATTGAGTGTGGAGTTTGCTTATGTACAGTGTTGGTGGATGTGGTTCCCTCATTAAGTATGCTTTCTACTTGATTATTTGTCTAGAGTTGGTCTAGCAATTCCCCAAATCTTTTTTAGCTTGACCTGGATGCTCACAATTTCCCAACTGAAACAACGTTCAAGCCTGTCCATGTGCTGTGAGATTAAGGAGTTTTCATCATGCCTTTCAAGTGCTTTTTTGTTCATGGATGTGCTCTGCTATAATGGCTGTTATAGTTGTTATACTGTATGTTGTAGATAAGTCCTGTTTTTGTTTCTTGGATTATTGGGTCTTTTTGTTTACTTAAGATTTTTTTGAGGGCTTTGGTTGGTTTGTATGCCATGGTGATGCCATGAGGTTGTAATACTCTATAGACTTTTTCTGATGTATGGCAGTGAATTATCATAGCTTGTCTTGGTTGCGCTATAGTGGCTTGAGTAATCAGGCACTTTTTGATAAAGTGGCATAGGTATTCATTTTGTCAGCAGATGTTGTATGGACGCTGTTTTCTTTTTCTGGTATTCTGGGTTGCTGCAATGTGTTTGTACTCATCTGAATAATAATCATACTCAGCTTCTCTTGTGATAGTTGGGATATAATTTTGGTAATAAAGCACTTGGTTAGTATGGGTTACTTTTCAACAGACTTGCTTTTCTAATCAAGGAACTATGAAAGAGAAAATCACACCCCAACAAGAAGCAAACTCAACACCCACTAGCAATGAGAGTGATATCTAGTTGAATAATAAAATATCTGCCAGGAAACAACTAAGATCAGAGTGTACCAAGTAATCCACAGTCAATAATGTGTCCACCCAACTGCTAAAGATCTGTTGCATATTTAGAGAAGGTGATGGTTTTGGTCTGGGCAAAATTTAAAATTAATTCCTTCTTTTTGCCATATGGGGTGGTTGCAAAGCTCTCTTAGGGCTTTTTGGAGCCACAGATAAAATTACAGCATCAACAGTATACAAAAATATACTGATACATCTATAGACTTGGTTAGAAGAATGAAAGCGTGCTTCCTTAGATGCGGCCTCAATAATTTATGTATTAAATGAAACCGCAGTCAATACACATTTGACCAACTCATTTCCTTACAGATATTACTTTAGTGACATGTCCTTGATTACCATACTTGATTTTCAGTCTCGCATTCTCATAAATTTTAAATATTCAAAAGCAGCAGACACTTATCTACTGAAGTGTTTTTGAAGTTTATAGTACAGCTAGTCCTCTACTTACAACCACAATTTGGCATATAATCCAAGTTGTTGAATGAAGCAGTCATAAAGCGAGATACATGATTGCTTTGTTTAAAGTCCACAATCCTGGCTCTCGCAATAGCAGTCTTTAAATGATTGTGCACTCCACCTTAAGTGGAGCACTGGGGAGAGGACCCAGGACCCTTAATAAGGGCAGGAAGAGGGCCGAGGTCTCCCACCATGCATGGGAAGCCTCTCCTTGCCCCAGTGTAGAAAACAACCACAAGGCTGCTGGAATTTGCTGGCATATTCACCAGATTTGAGGTCTCCATTCCTCCAGTGTGCCACAGAATGGACTTGAAATGTGGCAAAAATGCTAGGGAACATTACTGTTCTGGAATGCTCAAAATGCTGGCCTTCATTACTGTTTATCCCCTTCCCTCCAGAGGGCAAAACTCTAGCAAATTCTTCTGGAGGGAAAAATGCTAGCAACCACCAAGATTTACTTCGCCAGCCTCCAAATACTAGCCTTCAGTTTGATTCACTCCAAAAAACAGTAGGGTTCTATGTATGGATTGGCACATTGCCAGAATTCTCTTGTAGCTTTCCTTTTTTGTCATGGTTTAGCTGTTTATAATGCTTTTGGATTTCTGTAAGTCAGATGTTGAACAAAAAACAGGTTTCCTTTTATAGTTAAAAATATTTATTAAATACTGACTCAGAGACCTCCTAGCATCTTGGCACTCATGATCAAACCAGGTATGGTGCATTATTTGTATGTTTTCTGGCAACAAAGAATTGTGATGTTAACATTTGCTGAAACAATTTAATTATAGTTATCCAGCATAGCATCATCGGATGCATCATCTGCTAGCTCTGATGCAATCAATTTGACAATCATTAACTTCTTGTTGAGGAATCATTCAATGCAAGTGGGACAGAAGTTCCTCCTTTACAATTGCATTACAACAAGATGATAATTGCAAGCTATCAAAAGTCCTCAAAAATTAAGTGCCCAGGAAGTGACTGCCATTACAATTGTTACAATAAACTTTGAAAAGTTTGTGAGTGGAGGGGGTGTTAAGTTTTGCAATAGTCCAGAAAAAATATTTACACAATAAAATCAAGAAGGCATATCTGAGGATTACTTGGACAGATTTCCTCATTGCATTACTAAAATAGAACTCGATTTTCTTTAATACTGTAAGTCTTAATCTGTTTTCTAGTTTTAGTTTTTTAACTCTGAAAATATTAATATATAGAAAGTTTGAAAAGCAGGTTTAAGGACTAGTTCTTACACATAGCAATGTAAAGATAACCTTGAGTTTTGGTGACTTCATCCATGCAATTTTCATTGTAGTATTTGTTGTAGAATTAATTTACTACTGCCTTCTTCCAATTTTTTTTACTGTCACAATCTATTCAACAGCTTTGGAATGAACAGGTAGTTCCCCGTTAGAACGAGAACAAGAGTAGAGTAGAGTAGAGTAGAGTAGAGTAGAGTAGAGTACAGTACAGTACAGTAGAATAATTTTATTTGGCCAAGTATGATTAGACGCACAAGACATTTGTCTCTGGTGAAGAAGCTCTCAGTGTACATGCAAAGCAACAGAGTAATTATCATCATCAGCAATAAGAGGGGGGTAGTAAGGAAGATAAGTACCAATTGGATCTGACCCGGCTTAGATTTGAAGAACAGTCAAGATCAACTAGATGCTGCCATATACTAAACCAATTAAGCAGGTAAATTTGCCTATAAGAAACCTATCTATCTAGCAGAAAAATTGATATGTAACATTAAAATTTAGATCTCCAGAAAAATTGATATGTAACATTAAAATTTAGATCTCCAAAACAAAGAGAAATTAGACTTGAAAATGTCATACACAGTCTCCTATTATAAAGAACATAAACTGAGGTGTTTTATTTTGTTATGAAATATAAACAAAAATAAACCTAATAATACAATAGTAAGAATGCAAAGATTAATAGAATATAATAAATCATCTTGTTACAGACATAACAAATGAATCTTGCTTGAATATATAGTAGTGTACTTAAAACATCCCCAACAGGAGAAATCCAAAATAAAATTTAAATTCACACCTCAAAAATAAACAAACCTTTGTTGCGAGTTGTGAAACAGAAGATGTTACTTCATCCTGAAGACATGAATCCTTGTTCTTAGTCTAAAAAAGAATAAATAACTATAAATTTCAAGAGAGCAACAAAGGTTTGTGATCAATAAGAAATAACAAGAATGGTTAATATTGAATAAAGATACTATTACATAGAAATAATGTACTTGGTCCATATTTAGTTTCCTTTCCTATTGTTTTGTTAAAAACAGATCTCTACTTTCCATGGCAAAACATACATAAGCACACGCCACTTGAACAAAGAAGGGAAGCACCCAAATAAACTTAGTAATCTAGACCAAAGTCTTCACTGAATTTTGATTACAATATATTTACTGCTATGCTAGCTGAACCAGACATTACATTCCAGAAAGAAAAATGAAAGATAACAGAGTTATCACAAATGCCATAGAATTAATATTATGGAAAAAGAAGGCAGCGGTAATATTTCTACATTTGGAAAAAGGCTTTGACAATTTGGAACAGACTGTTTTTACTAGAAGTCTTAAACAAAATTAATCCTGGAGAAAAATTTGAAACATGTAGAGAACATGTAGTACTAAGTACAACATGACTATAAGCACAAAACTCCATAGTTGATGAAAGTAATAAAAGATTTAGTTGCTTTTTTGAATATAAAATCAATTTTTTAAAAAAGATAATAATAAGGTCCTTAATTTACAAAGAAGAAAATGTGAAAAAGAGACTAGCTGTGAGATAATAAATGATCCAGTGAAATATTTAGGACTTTACTTGACAGGATGCAATGAAGACCTAGTTGAAAACAATTACAGCAATATTTTTTACTTTAAGGACAATTATAGTAAGAAAGATCTGAACATATATGCCAACACAGCATATCTGTACTCAAGAAATAGATTGAAGACACTACTAGAATTGCTTAATGAAGCATAATGACAAGAATCAATCAGGCACAACCTTGGAAAAAACAAACAACATTTAGAATGTTACTGACAACAAAGGAAAATCATCTGTTTCCATATTTTTCCCAAGAATCAGCCCTTGCTGTGTCCAGAGCTCTTCCTGTCAGAGCTTGCTTTTTCATGTCTAGCTAGAATTCCTTCTACTTCCCTGCTTCTCACGATGTCTACCCATGGGAAGAAGTCTACCCATTTCTACTTGCACCAACCTTAGGATCATGGAACAACAGCTTATTCCGAGCTGCTACCAGCTGTCTCTTCCGCAACAATCACAATGGCAGCAATTTTCTATTGTCAAAGTAGGTGGGAATATTACCAAACCCCCTCACTGTCCTTGGTCATTTTGGTATTTTAAACTGACAAATGACAAATTTTGTATGCCCATTTCTGTAATTTATACCATCCCCCTCATAGGTGTGTCATTCAAAACATAAAGTGAGCTACCCAGAGTTTGGTACAAGATGGGCAGTGTATAAAGGTTTCAAGTAACTAATAAAAAAAATCAAGGCATTAATAATTGCTCAATTATCTCAAAAAATTGATGTCCTTGTTTTCTGGAATTATAGAGGTTTCATTACTATCAACTACATGCTAGATTTATTAAGCACTGGAGATTTTTTGACTTATCTCTACCCAGACAGCAACACTTCCCACTCCTAGCTTACAATATTGATCCACTTATCTGTAGATCAGAGAAAAAAGGTGCTATTGATACCACTACAATTAAAATCTTTCAAAGATAAACTAGTCAAAGAGTTTCAACCCATCTTTTTCAAATGTTCATAATTACCAAGTCAAAAGATATAAGTCAAAGAATATCAAAACAACACTTGCACATGTATTCTTTTGTTACAGTTTGAGAGTATGTGGCTTCCTAAATAAGATTAAAGGTAAATAAACTTCTCACAGTCACTTAGGTGGGAGGTGGTATAAAAATTATAGTATGATAGCCAGATATTCAGATGTTTTATGAACAGCAGTAGAAAGGGGATGGTATCCATGAGCTTTGCGAAGAGTGAAAGATAGAAATAAATATAAAGAAGTCATTATATAGGCAGTCCTTGACTAACAATTCATTTAGTGATCATTCAAAGTACAACAGCACTGAAAAAAGTGACTTAAAAGTGGCTGTTTTTCACATGACCGTTGCAGCATCTCCATGGGACATGTGATCAAAATTCAGGTGCTTAGCAGTTGGTTCATATTTATGATGGTTGCAGTGTCCCAGAGTCATGCAATCACTTTTTGTGGCCTTCTGTCATCAAAGTCAATGTGGAAGCCAAATTCACTTAACAACCTTATTACCAACTTAACAACTACAGTGATTCACTTAGCAACTATGGCATGAAAGATCGTAAAATGGGGCAAAAATCATTTAGAAACTGTCTCATTTAGCAACAGAAAGGATAAAATTAAGTATTCCTTCAAGATGGTTGCCTGAGGTTTTCAAAATTGTTTTTCACACTCCAAGGAAATGAGTGTCACATGACCTACACTTCTGTAATGGTGTGCGTGACAGGTTTTCAACTCTATTCCAAGTCTTATCTTAATCTTCATTTAGAGTGACAATAAAGTTATTCTATTTGAGACTTGGGATACCAGAAGAATGAGGGAGGGAGGGAGGGAGTATAAATGGTAATTGGCAGAATCCCAGATAGGCATCCATCCCTATGTCACTGAGACTAGATTTGGACACTTCTGATACAGAAAACCATAGTAAGATCTGTCCCCCTTTTAGAGGATATGTGTATGCAATTTTTTGAAGTTGAATAAAAGTGTTAGAGTTAGATAATGAGGCTCATCTCTTTTTGGCAGACAAGTATTTGTGAAGAATCTGGTTAACCATGAATTGTGTCTATGAAATAAGCTATATGGCTTCTTGTTTTCTGTTTTCACAGGCTTGGTATCCAGTCTACTTTATTAGCACCATGGTTCAAGGAAGAAAATAGACTCATAAAGAACAACATAAAGATTAAAAAAAGAAATCTGTGAGGAATAGCAGAACTGGGAAAATAAAATGAAAGAATAAAAACAACAGCTAAAAGTTAATTAACCTTTTTCCTAGGCAAGGAACAAAAAATACAGTAAGATTAAGTTCATTAGAATTAATTGCAAATATTAGTCATATAATCTATTTCCTTCCTAGAGAGGAAGATGCTTTCCCAGACCAAAGAGGCAACAGAGCAACTGTGAATGCAGAAAGGTTTCCACTTTCAATAAATATGTTGATGCTGGAAGATATATGAACAAAATGCTGCTATTTCTAGGATCAACATTCAAATGTAATATTTGTCCAAAATTATTTATTTCATATTATCAAATTGTATAACTGAAAAAATGAGTCATGGCCTAGACGTTTCAAATATTTCAACAGCCATTTCTCTTCTTGGGAAAGAGATGGGGGGCAATGATATTAGGATTATGATTGACACCAGATATTCTGCACTACAGGTTACTGGATAACACACTTATGTTTAAACGTTGGGCTTAAATGCTTTATTATTTATAGTAGCAAATAAAAATGTGTGTGCGCACACATGTACGTAACTAATAGTTAGCAAAGAACAATTTGAATTACTTCCCTAAAAATTACAAACTTTATATTAGTATATTAACACACTTCATAATAATTAATATCAAATCAGATATAAATTTTTAAGCACCATATTTTGCAAAGCGCCTTTTTATGCTGGCAGCATGTTCCCCCAGGATAGATCTTATAAATTAAGTTGCTCAGGTTAAGCCTGCTTGACAAGCTACGCCTGCTTCACAGAAAGAGTGAGAGTTCTAATAAAAATGTGGCTCTGAAGGAAATGGCATCCAATAGGTTTTGTTTTCTATCAATTTTTGAGGTAAGCCACACATAAAATATGAAGCGGCAAATGTATTATGCCAAAAGAAGAACCTGGCCATTCTTCTTCCCATTTAAGTCTAGTTCTAGCTCACGCCCATAGTTCTCACTGCGAACAATATAATCAACTATGCAACAAAAATATCAAGTGAAATTAAATAGCCGCCGCCACCACCACAATGAAATCTGGACTGCTTCTTACAGAGAAGTTTGCAAGTTTACAAATACCCTCAACTTTAAATCAAAAGATTTACATACTCAAATGAACTTTCTTTAATTGAAACAATTCTGAATTCATTTCAGTGGACAAAGCACAATTTTATATGTATGTATTCATACTTCCCTTGTAAATTTTCAGAGGCCATGCATGCAACTAAACACCCACATTGCATATTTTAGTGACCTAATTTAAGCTAGTAACCTAATGTTATGCTTTCTGGTTAAACTACTGTATTTCTTTCACTAAATATTCAAAGGATAAGACTCTTATCTCAGCATTCCTAAGGTTCAGTTTGTCTTATGCCATTTAATACCTTGTTAACAAGCTTTCAAACTTTGGCAGTAACTGTGCCAGTGAGTTCAATATTTCTAGAGGAATGTACAAATATTTTTTTCTAGAATATTCTTTTAAAATGTACAGGTATTCAAGGGATTAATTAAACCAGAACACAGCTCTTTTTATATTGAGATTAAACTTCAAGCCAACTTTTCCTCTCTTTCATTTATATTAACTAATAATCATTCATTTCATTGTTTATCTTGTGGTAGGAAATGCAAATTACTTCATACAATCCTACAAACCCATATTGTCAAAACTGAAGTCTGCTAGATTGATTGAAATCTGTTTGAAGTAATAATTAGATTTCCTAAACATAGACACACACATTTCCCACTCATATATATAATTTATATGTCTTTTGCATTTTCTATAAATTTAAAACATTAATTACTGTCATTGAAGAATTTCTTGGCTAACATGGAAGGAGGGAAGGAAGGAAGGAAGGAAGGAAGGAAGGAAGGAAGGAAGGAAGGAAGGAAGACAATGGATGGGTGGATTAGGTAGGAAGGAAGGAAGGAAGGAAGGAAGGAAGGAAGGAAGGAAGGAAGGAGGAAGGAAGGAAGGAAGGAAGGAAGGAAGGAAGGAAGGAAGGAAGGAAGGAAGGAAAGAACATTTTTGATAATACCTGCTAGCTTCGCACAAGGAAACGCAATTGGGAAGCTAGTAGAGAGTTGGAAATTTCACCCACTGCTTTTCTGCC